GAGCAGTGGCTTCATTTGTTTCTTAGAAGGATAATTCTTTTTCAAGTTCCCAGAGATGTGTCTAACACACATTCTATCCTCAACCTTAGGTAACTCTAACTCCACTGATTTCATTTAGATCAAGGTCAGCCTTCAATCTCTTCACAAACCACAACCAATTCTTTGTGTTCTCAACCTGAACAACACTTCATGCTATGGGATAGATGGAGTTGTCTGCATCTCTTCCCAATGCAACTAGCAATTGTCCCTTGATCTTTGACTTTAAGAAGCAGCCATCAACTCCTGTTAATGGACGACAAGTCTGTTTCCAATTTTTCTAAGGGCATCAAAACAAACATAGAATCGATTAAACAAGTCTAACCAACATCATCCTTGGTTGTATCAACCTGCACTATAGATCCTGGATTTGTTTCCAAGATCTCAGCTGCAATATCCTTGAGTCCTGTAAACTGGAGATCATACTCATACTCTATCCATGCCAAAGCCTTTCTCCTAGCAGCTTGACATTGTGGCCTAGTTGCTGAGATCTTCCACCTTTCCATGATAATTTGTTCAATCTTCAAAGGCATGTAATACTCTGGCTCCTCCATAATCTTATCAAGAAAAATTCTAGCTATGACCGGGACCTTAAACATCTCACACTCTCCATTAGCAGTACATCAAAGCTTATCAATGTATTTTTTAATCTTCCACATTGATGCATTTGGAAGAGATGCAACATAAACTTGCTATTCACATTTTCCCTTTTCCCCAACACATCTAAACCCAAGCTTATCTTTGTCATACATTTACTGCTTCAAATTGTAACATGTGTGCAGTGCATAGTCCAACACACACGCCTTGAATGTGATTCCATTGTAGAACAATTGGCCTTCCCACATCGTTCCATCACCACGTCTGATGCCAGTAAACACTCTATCTGGATCACCACGGCGACCTTCTTCCTTGTCGTCACTTTCTGGGTAAGAATCGTAACGAATGGACTCTTCCGCATCTATAAAATCTTGAGCAAGCTTGTCGATGTGGAACTTGTCTCGATCTTCCGCTACTTTTGATTAGGGGAAATCACAATTTAGGGTTCGTTGGGAAAGAGAGGAAGATGAAATTGGGTTAAATCGATTTTAGGGTTTTTTTTATTTATTTGGTTGGGTTGTAATTGTTAATCGGATTGTAATTGGGTTGGAATCGGATTTAAGCTGGTCAATAACTTCAATCATTGGTTAAGCGAAATAGTAAACCAATTTAATCTGAATCAATGGATAATTAGATGAGAACGTTTCTTCAGTGGAGATTTAGGAATAAAACTATAAATTCCGGGAGGTAGAGCCCGCGATGCATAATTGGCAAGGCATTTGGGACGAAGGAAAAGTTCTGGCTCTATCTGGTACGATTCCATAGTCTCATGGGGAAATATGTTGTTTTAAGATGGCTTTATTTTTCTTATTATAAAAGACAAAAAAATGGGAATTTTTAAATCTTTTGAAGATTGCACCAAGTCTCATGTCAAGCATGTTTTGGGAAACAAAGCCATGCTAGAGTCATAGAGTCATAGTAAAATCTACTATAGGATTTTTGGTTTTAGCAAATTGTTCAAATCATTAATCTGTTACCTAAAATATTTAATAATTTTTAAAAAAAAAAAATGTCATTCTTTGTTTAAAAATTAAACTTTTGATTCTTTTTCATCTTTGTTTGTTTTAGTTTTAATATTTTTGAATTATAAAAAATGTCATTTTTAATTCGCATATATTGTGATCTGAATTTTAAAAGACAGACATATATTGCTCTTCTTGATATATAAAAATGTGTGTTCAATTTTCCTCATAAGCTAATTGTTTAGATGATGATTCAAAGTCATATTATATATAAGATCAAAATTAATATAAATTCGAATGACCCGGAATCTTCAATTAATAAGCATCCAAATTTAAAATTTGTAAATGATTAGTTCGGTTTTTAACTTTTTAATTTTTCCGTATCTAGTAAACTTTAAACTTCTAAAAAGTTTAGAATATTATAATTGATATATCTAAACTAAATACAAAGTATAAAATTATGAATATTTAAACATATTAAAATTTGAAACTAACACAAACGAGTTATATTGCATGACGGGTTGTATGATGGGACGTGTTTGAATCGATATTACTAAAAATAAAATATTACGAGTTAAATATTTATGTTTAACATCTTTAACAATACCAATATAAGATATGTCGAATAAACTGATTGCTTTAAGATTGTGTATAATAAACTGATTTATTTAAGATTGGTATACACAATCTTAATAGTTATTTATCAAATAACTCTAATAAAATCAGTAAACTGAAAATAAATATAAATTTAAAGGTAAATAAATAAAAGTTTACCATGCACTGTGTTGTGGGTTAAAATCTAATATTTAATGTAAAAGCAAAGACAAAAAAAATGAGAATGTATTCAGAATATGTAATTAGAAAGTATGTGGGGAATGTATTACAGGCTGTATATTGCTTGGGAGAAGAGGGTTGCATGGCTAGAGGTGCAGGTTAATTTGAAGATGGTGGTTGGTTTTTTTTTAGAAAGGGATTAGTGAGACTAATCTTTTATCTTTCCTGGTACGGTTATGCCATAACTTTATATCTAGGGATTGGAATGTTCGGGTTTCTCACGTGTATCGAAAAGCTAATCATCTCGTGGATTGTAATTGAGTTTTCTTTTTAACTCTGTTACCTAAAAAAAGAGGTATGTGGGTCATTACACACTAAAAATGAATGCCAATGGCCTAATAGCAAGAACTTTGTTTACTAATCCACTACTATTTTTTCTCAAGCCCGTATAATTTTTATTTTGTCCTTCAAGTGTTTTCACTCTTCACATTTTTTTCAATTATTGGCTCTGATTGGTAATGATGCATAATCGCATAATGGTGTAAACTGCAGAATGAAAATTCACAGAATGAAAACTTGCAGATCAAAAATCACAGCATGAAATTATTTAAAAAAATATATTGATTGAATATATTCTGCAAAATGAACGAAATATAATATCATATCTATCTTAACATTTTTGAAGTACATTTTGTACTAAAATCTATTTTGGATTATAACCTTTTTATTTTTTATTATTTGCATAATCAAACATTTGCCATTTAAATAAATAACAAAATATAAAGGTAAATTTTGTAATTAACTCACAAGCTAATCGCATAAATGGAACAAATATTTATTATATCAAAAGAAACTCCTAAAATCTCTCTCTAATAAATTGAATCTCTCTCCAATATATTTATATAATCTTATTTGTTTTAATTTGTATTATTACATAAAAATATTTATAACAAAAATATAAACTTTTTCCACACATTGTGCAATTTATTTTTTGAAAAGAGACGTATATAACTCAATCAATAAAGGAAAAAATATATATACAACGTCTACATAAGGTAGAATATTTTAGATAATAGTTCAAAATCATTATAAATAGGATTAGTATGTTCACAACTACAAATGAGCATGAACTTTGATTTCTCAGGTATCCAAATTAAAAAAATTGATTCAGTTTAATCCGGTTCCTTATTTGAGAAAAATAAATTTGTTCTAAAGTTTCAAAATATTATAAATTTTTTTTTTTTTCAAAAATAGTATAAATATTAAAACTTTTAAAAGCTGTAAATTATAATATTTAATTTTAATTTTATTGCATATTTAAAATATCAAAAAATTAATGGGGAATTTCAAAAAATACCCCTTTTCCAATACCACTTTTTAAAAATACCCCTCTTTCTAATTTTATCAAAAAGTCACTATAAGTTTAAAAATTTATCAAAAAAATATGTGTAAGCTTATATTTATAGACACAAATTATCTTAATAAGTGTGTAAATTTACATATATATTTCATAAATACCGTATAAATACATTTTAAAAACCTTTTAAAAACCATATAAAAACCTTATAAAAACTTTGTAAACCTTTTAAAAACCTTATAAAAACCTTATAAATGCCATTTAGAACCTTTTAAAACCTTGTAAATATTTGGATTTAGTCTCCATGTAATAATAATGATCTTGATATACCTTATCAACCATATAAAAGTTTATAATTTTTCATATTTGAAAAGGGGTATTTTTGAAAATGGATAGAAAAGAGAGGTATTTTAAAAAATGGGTACACCAAAAGGGGCATTTTTCAAACAATTTCAAAAATTAAACTCTACAAATTTAAAGTATTATTAATATTTTAACTCTAAAAATATTTAAAATATAATAATCTTGTACATAAATATGATTGAACGGGTTTGAATTTACATAAATATGATTATTGTTTTTTTACGGGTTGTCTCTATTTAAAATCTTTTACGGGTTAAGTTTATAATTTTTTTATTTACAATAAAATCGTCACGCGGTGTATCGCGGGTTGACCACATATATCTATGAATCTACTTATAATACAAATTCATAAAATTATATAAAATTAAAATGATATACACACATATAAAGTTAGACTATATAAACCAACTACGAAAATAATCAACCAAACAAATATATTAAATTATGGATTTATGGTGTAGCACGAAGTAAATCCTAGTTACTAATTTACAATTATATCTAATAGTATTTGCATAATGACTTTTTACATGTACTTTTTAGGCAGAAACAAAAAATCTTGCGTTTTTGCGTTTTTTAATGCGATTATACAAATTTTTTCGGTTGACAAAGTTTTTGGATAATCGCATTAGAAAACGCCAATATGCCATTATGTTTATTACCAATCGGAGCCTTTCTATCATAGCATTCATTTACCTTTAATAACCTTAACCAATTTGGTAAATCACTATAAATAATAATTTCTTACCCTAAATAATAACTTTCGCTTGATCACCACCAAGTCAAAAATAAACCCCATTTTTTATTTGGAAATTTAAAATATTCCTAAAATAGTATATTATCAACTTCTCCTCCGAAGTTTGGGTTTTAACAGTTCATTTCAAAAACCAAAAACAAAAAAAACTAGCCAAATATTTTGCGATCACTGTTTTGTTTAGTTTTTGTTTTGTTTCTTTTCTTCCGATTTGCATTCTTGTTTATTCATTCTCCTTGATTAGAACAAAACAACAAACTTCTCAAAACATTGGTTCTGCTGTAGAAATGGGGAGTGAATCAATGAGCCACTTGTCTCTCAAAAAGAAACTCAAATCAAGGTTTTGCATGGCCGGATGTTTTCGTACGTCGAATCACCACCACCACGACGTCCCCGACGACCGGCCTTCCTCTCCAACGAGTCCCTCAGCCGCCACGGATAAAACTACTCAAAGCCCTCGTGGTGGTGGAATCAAGACCAAATCTCCACGACTCAACCGGACGTTGTCCAAGTCGCAAGAAAAGTGTCGGAGTTTTATCCATCGGATGGGTGGTGGAGTAAGCGGCGTTGGTGGCCATGGGAAGCACGTCCGACGCCATACTACAGACTTTCATTATGATCCGTCGAGCTATGCGCTTAACTTTGATAAAGGAGATGAGGATGACAATATCGACCGCTTCCCTCTCCGCAACTTCTCGGCTAGGCTGCCTCGTTCGCCGCCTTCTTCGGCTAAGGCCGGGACGGAGTCTTCTTTTACGGTTCATAACCTTTTGCGGTGATGATTGAATCTTATGTTTCAGTCTAGCTAATAATAATTTAGCAATTGTAAATACTTCAAAACTTCATTTGCAAAACAAAAAAAAATTGTTGTTGATATAATAATAGTTGGATAGCATTTTACTACTTGACATGCGCATGCCAAAGTTGTTTCAATTTTCTTGTTCAACATGTCACAATGAACCCTTGTTCTTGAATAGACAATGTACATTATCCTCGAATGTGTAGGTTCAACATTTCATAATGAACCCTTATCAATGAATTGGAAAGAGAATGGTACGATAAAGTTTGCTAAGACTCTGTGCATGCCAAAATAAGTTGAAAAGAAGCATATCATTTGTCCAAAAGACTTTAACTCTCGAGTTTAAAACCTAGATTGCGGGTGAAATGCGATAATACTTAAAAAAAAGATTGGAGAGCCGAAACAATTTAATCCAACAGTGATCGATCGACAAAAGTGTAACCGAACAATCTTGTGTGTCTTCCCTGCAATCTTGTGGCTAGCCTACACTTACCACGGCTTAGCAATACATTTACAATCTGCTAGTAGCCTGCAATCTTGTGGCTAACCTACACACACGGCTTAGCAATACATTCACAATCTGCTAGTAGACTATGTAAGCTCTGCAACCCCCACGGAACATTGTTGCCCTCATAGCAACCAGTTTCGATTCTGTTTGTCTCACAAATACTATGGATTCTACTTCATCTGACTTTAGTAGTTTATAATGGTTTGATTTTGGAGCTCTAACACTTCTGTTTCATACTCTCATGTCTCCTCCTTCACACACTTATCCTTCACTCACTAAACAAACACCTGAATCGGTTTCTCCTATCCTCATTGAACTGAACCATTGAATATGTTGGCTTGAAAATCCAAACCCCAAACAGGATTTACTCAAACTGCAAACAACAAACACATTCTTTGTACAACCTCATTTACTTCATCGAGTTCTCAAACAACCATAACCTCATTGTTATATTAATCTTTAGCAAGCAGCAAAAAGACTTGACTAGAACGGTATGGTTATTAACCACATATATTATATACTTAAGGCAGAGCTTAATTAAGAGAATAGAAGAAGCTAACAAGAATCATAGATTGTATAGAGAGTGAGTACTATAAACACAACTTGACACACACATTATGTAATATACACAAATTTAAGGCAGAGTTGGAGAGAGTGAAGGATTAGTAACCTTAAGCTCTCCACAGCCACTAATGTAAACCGTCTTAAGAGGTCTATTCCACAACGATCTTGCGTTTTGAGCTCTCTCGTCTCCAAGAAACTCCGCAAAATCGTTAAACTGTTTAATATTCTCCGAAGGCTTATACGTCGGAATCGAAGATATACTCGTCACCACATCTAACCCTGCAAGAGAGACAAACTTCCCCAAATTTCACAACCCAATTTCTTAACATTTCAATCAAAATGTACTTAGAAAAACTAGCTACCTTCAAGCACAGTTCCGAATACAATGTTACCACCGTCGAGCTGCGGAGACGGTCCAGGACCAGTAGTGATTAAGAATTCAACATTTCTATAATCAGGATCGAGTCTAGTTTCATCATCATCATCATTCTCAGATAAACAAAGAGAGACAACACCAGCACGACTATGTGGGAGCAAAAAAGACTTAGAATTAACAACGTCAGTGTTCCGAGGGAGATCTCTAAGTAAAAACCCAACCTCAGCCGTATCTCGCCGTCCTCCGCCTTGTCTTCCGGCGAGAAAGTACTGACCAGGGAAGATTTTGTGAACAGGAGTGTTTTTGTAAGATGTAGAAGAAGAGGTACACATACGTTTGAAAGTGGAGACGGTATTAGGGACGTGACGGCCGTATAATCCGAGAACGACGCGGCCGAGAGGAGTTGAATCGGAGCAAGGAGTGGTGGAGGAGAGTGTGGCGGAGGGATCTGAGCGGAAGTAGGTGGGACAGAGGGAGAAGTCGAGGAAGACGCGATCGGTGATTGTGATGTCGGGGGAAGGTGGTTTAGGTTGTGGTTGTTGCGGTGGTGGTGGTGGAGATACGGTGGTGATGGTGGTGGAGAGGAGGAGGTTACGGCGGGAGAGAATCGGAGGGATGAAAATGGATGATGATGCCATGTTGGGATGATGGATGATTACAAAATCTCTCTCTCTCTCTACTCTTTAGTTAGTCTATGTTCTACGGTGCCGTTTTAGCTAAACTCTGATGGGCCGTTAACGGGTTTATTTGGTTGGGCCTGAGTTTTACCGACAACGCTATCTTTCTTAGAAAAGAAAAGAAAAATAAATGAGTATATTAAATACGGTTGGGCAAAATATCCGAAAGCGGAAATTCGAACTGAATCCGATCCAAACACTAAAATAATATTTGAGCGTGTTTCAAACCAATTTTAAATTCGAAAAACCGAACCAGAAACTGAAACCAAATGTGTACTAGAAATAATATAATTACATATATAAAATATTAGTTATGTTTAGATTTTCTTTTTTAACATCTGAATTTTATTAGATTAGAAAGGTTATACATAATGTAATATACAAGAAGGAGGAACATTAAAAGAAAGATATAGTGAAGACATAGAATTAAAAGGCTGATAAATTATGTTTATATTTATTTAATCCAATTATCTATTATTATGATTATTTGTGAATCCAAAAATATTAGTTATTTTAAGATAAAAATAATTAAAATATCTAAAAACAAATCTATACTATATAAAAATTCTTCGTTATTTTGTCAAAATTTAGCCAATTTTTAAGTTTTTTCTAACATTTTAGGTATCCAAACTCGATCCCAATCCAAAAATATAAAATACCAGAATGAGTTTTAAGCCTTGATTGGTTACGTTTGTAGCTTTAGATTGTTGTCTGTAGATTAGAGCTGGGTAATTTTTGGTTGTGACTGTAGATTTTATTGTTTTAGTATTTTGGTTCTAGGAATTAATTTTTTGGAAAGCTTAAATATATGTGCTTTAGGAAAAATGATTTTGTACAGCCAAAAAAATAATTAAGAAAATATTTTGGCAATTAGAAAAATGAAATACTAAATTTATAAAGTTTGGTCGATATAGGTTTATAGATTTAGACCAAAATATAGTTGTGGAAAGTTTTTAAACCAACAAGTCAGCAACCAATCAAAGCCTTATACTCCTAAACCTAATGCCCACGTAATTTCTCAAGAGAAACGTAATATTGTATCTTAACTTTTGTGGTTATCTATACTATTAATTGGGAAGGACAACTTAAAGCCAAACACCCCCAATTTTTAAAAAAAAATTCATGAAAATAAAATCAGTTGCCAAACAGAATTAATGACAGCAAAAAAAAACAAAAACAAAAACAAAAACAATCTATATTTATGGAAATCATAATAATCTTTTACCATAAAAAGTGGACAATTAAATTCAAAATTAAATATATGTAAACATATCTATTTTGAATATACATAAAAATATTTAGTATTAATTTAATATTTTAATATAATTTCGAAATTAATAATTTATATAGAATGAAATCTAATAAAACAAAATCATCATATCTCTATATTAGTAAAAGAGAAGTACAAAATAGAATACGGGTCGGGTCAAAATAAAAAAGTTAACCCGATTTCAACAATTGGATACTTCAAAAGTGGATATTAAATTGGGTTTGGATACATACATCGGATACTTTCTATATCTAATTTTAGGATTATATTATTTCCATAACTAATTAGAGAATTTCCAAATATTTCTCTAACTAATTTAATATAATCTATTAAAATAATTATTATTCTTCTTTCACTTTTATTTGATCTTATTTTTAATTTATGATATTATACTATATAATATAAATATTTAATAATAATTTAACTTTTTTTGCATATACTGCAATTTGAATTTTTTGAAACGGATATATAATACTCAACTACACTCGGTTAAATATTTTGGACAATGGTTTAAAATCATTATAAGTATGACTAATATTAAAACCATTGTTACATGAGCATATTTAAATTTTTTAAAAGTTTCAAAATATTATGATTAAGAGGTTCAAATATATATAAACTTTAGAATTTATAATATGGAATTTTTTTTAAGAAATAAATGTAATTTTGGAGACATAATTTTAATTGATAAAATATATTATATATCAAACTATTTAAAATTTATATTGTTCACGGGTAGTTTGTTAAATCACAATTATAATGATAAAGCGAATTATGAATATTTTTTTTTACAAAATGAATTCTTTTACGGGTTGGTCCTTCAAAAAAATTATTGTAAATATGTAATTTTACATATATTCCTACTTCTACTACAAAATGGTCAAAATGAATATTTTATCGACAAATATTATTTCGTGCTGTTAAATTTTTACCGTGTTTTTAATTGTATCAAAACTCAATATATAATTATTTACTCACTTTTTCCTTTATTATTTTATTTAAAATGTAACATATTTTAATCCGTTAAAGGTTATATATATATATGTAAATATTTCCCCCGCGCTGTAGCGCGGGTCGGAACCTAGTATCTAAATAAACAAAGATAAAATTTTTTTAGAAAAATAAAAAGATAAAAAATATGTTAGCATATGAAATAATCAACTAATCAAATTCTATATAGTATATATACATAATTGATCATATCATCAAATTTTAAAAAATTATGTAATTTTAAAATATAAATAAAATTTAAATAAATAAATAATTAAATATTTGTTTGCTAAAATCATGCGAATAAACATTCTAAATCACATAAATTTCTTATTTTCACATATTAAAGGGGGAATTTCAAAAATACCCCTTTTCCAATACCACTTTTTAAAAATACTCCTCTTTCTAATTTTATCAAAAACTCACAATAAAATTTGAAATTTATCAGAAAAATATGTATAAACTTATATTTATAGACACAAATTATATTTACATGTGTGTAAATTTATATATATATTTCATAAGTACCGTATAAATACCTTTTAAAAATCACTAGTGATGGACCCGCACGTACGTGTGGGGTTATTTTTACAAAATTACGATTTTTTATGTAGAAGCTATTTTGGTAAAATTTTGTTTTATGAGTTTATTTGATAAACTATATATAGACATATAGTTGTAAAATATAGATATTGTATTACATAATAAAATTTTAAAATTGTAATTTTAAAATAATTTAAATGAAGATAATAAGTGATATTACATGTTTATTTTTTTATTTAATCAAAACATTTCTAACTGCTTGCTTAGAGATGTTAAATCGGATTTGGGTTTGGCTTTAGTTTGAATTGTTTTATGTGTAGTTTAGAATTGAAAACCTGTCATGTCCCTTTCTGTCTCGTCCTGACCCGTCCCGTCCCGTTCCGTCTTCTATCTGTCATAAAATTTCTGTCCCGTAATCGTTTGTTTTTAAAACATAATCATTTGCCAATGTTTATTATAAGAAACTTGGTAAAAGATTTAGACAGGATACCCGTATTACTCGTTTAAATATTCCTTGTTCGATTTTTAATTTTATTGATCTTTCAGTTTCATCTTTATTTCTCGTTACTTTCTTCAATTCAAAGATTCATGTTTTAGCCTTTTTGTTTTCTAAAGATTTAGGTATTTCTATTTTTTTTAATACATGGATTTATTGTAGTTTTGTTATCCGAAGTATATGTTATCTTCTTGTACCTGTCATTTCATGTCCAAATATTTGAAATAAATAGGAAAGTGTAAATTAAACTTACCAATTTAAATTACATGTCCCCGTATCGTACTCGTAGTTTTATATTTGAAAGTTGAAAGTGAATTTAACTCTATGACCGTGTCTCATAACAATTATATCTAATCATGTTTTTTTTTTTATGAGAAATAATTCAGATAATGTTTGTTTTCGAATTATATGTTCCCGTATCGTATCCATTCCTATAAGTTTATATATTTTTTAAATAAATAACACAATTTACATGTAACTAAATATAATTTTAATATATGTAAAATTTCATATAATCGTCCAAAAGTAGATATTTATACGTCCCAAAGTTCAATTTTGTTCAATATTTTGAGATTTTGAGAATTAAATATAACTACCAATTTTTTTTATTTCAACCGGTTATCCAAAACTTATATATCATCTGCTGCTTAGCTCGTGGGGCCATCTTGTACGTATATGT